ACAACAAAAAGTACCCAAAATAGAGGAATTAAGTTTCCCCCTATTACACACTTTTGGACATTTTGGAATTAAGATTGCTCAAAATCTGTGCATTTTTGGTACAATATTTTGAAAGAAATATTTTGGTTGTAAATTTAACCCTCAAACGTGTCAGCAAGGTCCTTTTCTACAATATGGTTAAAAACACCCTTGAAACGAGGGTGTAGCAAGTCGAAATATTCCACTAAATTATTTGTCATAAAATTCTACTATGGGTCCTCGGATACATCAAGAGTCTTAAACTTACCTAAACATCATGTGTCAAAAACACATTTTAGGATTAAAGCCGTACTTTGAGTGAGTCTGGACAAAAATGCCTAGGAAAGCATTATTTTAGAAAGCTGACGTCAAAGACAAAAATATTCTTCATAAAATTTTACTTTGAGTCAAAAAAGTTAAGAAATCTCTATTTGGACTGTATACAAAAAAAAAATTTCTTCAATTTTCCCAAAAAAAAAAAAAAAAAAAAAAAAAAATATTCCCTAATTTTTTTTCATTAATTTTCATCGGACTTTTTTCGAATTGACACCTCAAATTAACATAAAATTTCATTTAAGGCAAAAAGTCTTAAAATAAGAAATATTCTATACAATATTTCTCTAGAAATCTCAGAACAAACCATGTATCTAGGTACCATAGTTACTATAAAAATTAAGTCCCAAATTTATGTACTAAAAGTGAAAAATATGTATTTTATTTTTTACTGTTAATTTAGCAAGTTTTCAATCCCAAATCTCCAATTATTCTTCATTTTTGGGGATGACGTCAAAGACAAATATAATCATCATCAAAGTTTACTATATGTTACCAAAGAAAAGAAATCTCTATTTCGACTGTTTACCAAAAAATCCTTGCTTCAATGTTACCAAAAAAACCGAAAATATAATAATTTTAATTTTTTAATAATTTTAATTTATAATTTTTCAGTCCAAATTTTCATCGAACTTTTTTCAAGTTGACACCTGAAAGTAACAAAAAAAAAACATGTTTTAGGCAAAAGGTGTCAAAGGAAGAAATGTTGTATACAAAATTTCACTACAAATCTCAGAATAAATCATATATCTAGGTATTATAGTTTTCATGAAAATGGCATTCCAAATTTGTGTATTAAAAGTGAAAATTATGTGCTTGTTTTTTTACTGTTAATTTAACATGTTTCCAATCCGAGTCAAAATCTCCCTTTATAATTTATTTTTTGGGAAAAGTGTCAAAGACAAAAATGTTCTCCATCAATTTTTACTATACGTCACAAAAGTAAAGAAATCTCTATTTCGACTGTATACCTAAAAAAAAAACATTTGCCTCAGTGTACCTCAAAAACCCTGAAAATATTCCCCCACTTTTTTGGATCAATTTTTCCTGGGACTTTTTTCGAGTTAACTAACACCTGAAAGTAATATAAAATTTCGTTTTACACAAAAGTTGTCAAAGGAAGAAATATTCTATACAAATTTTCACTATAATCTCCGAATAAACCATGTTCTTAAGTACACTAGTGTTTTATGAAAATTACATTCCAAATGTTTGTACTAAAAGAGAAAATTATGGCTTTGCTAATTTTACTGTTAATTAAACATGTTTTCAATACGAGTCGAAATCTCCATTTATACCTAATTTTAGAAGGATTATGTTAATGACAAAAATATTCCTAATCAAATTTCACTATAAGTCACCAAAAGAACAGAAATCTCTATTTCGACTGTATACCTCAAAAACCCCGAAAATAATCCCTAACTTTTTGGATCAAAATTTCCTGGTACTTTTTTCGATTTGACACCTGAAAGTTACATAAAAATTCGTTTTAGGCTGAAGGTGACCAAAGAAGAATATTCTATACAAAATTTCACTATACATCTCAGAATAAACCATATATCTAGGGATAATAGTTTTTATAAAAAATCACATTCAAAATGTATGTACTGAATGGGAAAATTATCTCTTTGCTTTACTGTTAATTTAACACGTATCCAATCCCAGTCAAATTCTCCCTTTATACTTCATTTTTTGCGAAAAGTGTCAAAGACAAAAATGTTTTCCACAAATTTTTACCTTATGTCACAAAAGTAAAGAAATCTCTATTTCGACTGTATACCTAAAAAAAACCATTTGCATCAGTGTCCCGCAAAAACCCCGAAAATATTTCCCAACTTTTTTGGATCAATTTTTCCTGGGACTTTTTTCGAGTTGACACCTGAAAGTAATATAAAATTTCATTTTACACAAAAGTTGTCAAAAGAAGAAATATTCTATTATAAATTTCACTGTATATCTCAGAATAAACCATATATCTAGGTACAATAGTTTTCATGAAAATGACATTCCAAATTTGTGTATTAAAAGTGAAAATTATGTGCTTGTTTTTTTACTGTTAATTTAACATGTTTCCAATCCGAGTCAAAATCTCCCTTTATTTTTTATTTTTTGGGAAAAGTGTCAAAGACAAAAATGTTCTTCATCAATTTTTACTATATGTCACAAAAGTAAAGAAATATCTATTTCGACTATATACCTAAAAAACATTTGCATCAGTGTTCCTCAAAAACCTCGAAAATTTTTCCCCAATTTTTTTGGATCAATTTTTCCTGGGACTTTTTTCGAGTTGACACCTGAAAGTAATATAAAATTTCGTTTTACACAAAAGTTGTCAAAAGAAGAAATATTCTATACAAAATTTCACTATGAATCTCAGAATAAACCATGTTCCTAAGTACACTATTTATTTTTATCAGAATTACATTTCAAATGTTTGTACTAAAAGAGAAAATTATGTGTTTCCATTTTTACTGCTAATTAAACATGTTTTCAATCCCAGTCAAAATCTCCATTTATACCTAATTTTAGAAGGATTATGTTAATGAGAAAAATATTCCTAATCAAATTTCACTATAAGTCGCCAAAAAACGGAAATCTCTATTTCGACTGTATACCTAAAAAAAAACATTTGCATCAGTGTACCTCAAAAAACCCGAAAATATTTCCCAATTTTTTCGATCAATTTTTCCTAGGACTTTTTTCGAGTTGACACCTGAAAGTAACAAAAAAATTCTTTTTAGGCAAAGTTGTCAAAAAAAAAGAAATATTCTATACAAAATTTCACTATAAATCTCAGAATAAACCATGTTCTTAAGTACACTAGTTTTTTATGAAAATTACATTCCAAATGTTTGTACTAAAAGAGAAAATTATGTGTTTCCATTTTTACTGTTAATTAAACATGTTTTCAATCCGAGTCAAAATCTCTATTTATACCTCATTTTAGAAGGATTATGTTAATGAATTTTTTCGATTTGACACCTGAAAACTACATAAAAATTCATTTTAGGCTGAAGGTGACCAAAGAAGAAATATTCTATACAAAATTTCACTATACATCTCAGAATAAACCATATATCTAGGGATAATAGTTTTTATAAAAAATCACATTCAAAATTTATGTACTGAAAGGGAAAATTATCTCTTTGCTTTACTGTTAATTAAACACGTATCCAATCCCAGTCAAATTCTCTCTTTATACTTCATTTTTTTGGGGGAAGCGTCAGAGAAAGAATTATTCTAGATCAAATTTCATTGTAAGTTTCCGGACAAAAGAAATTTGTATACCTAATATTTATTATACAAAATAACATAAAGTTTTGGTAATAAAAAACCTAGTTTATATCTGAAAAATTTAGCATTTTTTTCCAATTTTCCTATAATTTCACTGTTTAATAGCCAGTCTGGTTTGTGGTAAATGCCAAGTGAACTCGACAGTACTTGTACTTGCATTTAAAACCCAAAGAAGATTTGGGTTATTAGACACCAGTAAGTCATATATATTAAAAATGCACTTTATGTGAGTTTGTGCTAAACTCCCCAACAAAGCATAACTTAAGAAGGATGACGTCAAAGTCAAAAATATTCTTCACCAAATTTTACTATAAGTTACCAAAGAAAATAAATCTCTATTTTGACTGTATACCAAAAAAAATCCTTGCTTCATTGTTCTCAAAAAAACCGAAAATATTCCCTAATTTTTCTGATCAACTTTTCCTCGGATTTTTTCGAGTTGACGCCTTCCTTCCCTTCATACTTCAGTTTTTGGGGAAAGTGTCAGAGAAAGAATTATTCCAGAAAGGGTTTGACTCCTTAAAAGTTCATTTTATTAATAAATTTGGACAATTCTTTATATATGTAGATATGATAAATGATTCTGACATTTGCTCAATTGTTACAAATTTCAATGTACGCTCCAGATATACAAAAAAAAAAAAATAATGTTTTAAATTAGATATGCGTTACCTGGGAGGGAATACAGCCAGCTGAAAAAAATATATAAAAAGTACAAAGTGCAATTTATAAAGATTCCCAAAAAAATTGGCATGGATTTGAGCGAGCGCAATATTTTTTTTTATTTTGAAAAAAAAAAAAAAATCAAAAAAAAAAATAGTTAGTAAATCAGATCTTAGATCAAAATTTAATGAATTTTAAATATTTTCGCCTTGTCTTAATCAAATATAAAAAAGAGTAAAACTATTAAAATTGAATCAATTGACTTTTTTTTCCAAATAATGCAAATATTTTTTTTTCAACTTTATGGTGTTGTTTGTTGTTGTTATTGTTGTATTTCATCATGTAGTTGTATTTCTAACATTTTTTTTAATAACATTTTAATGGTAATCATCCAACAATATTCTACTTTTATGTGCGCTCGCTCCATCTTCAACCAAAAACCAACCACACCACCATCCATTTGTGACAAAAAAATGTGTTTGCCGCTACCGCAACGACAACGTAACGTAACTTATCTGCCACTACTACGTCATTCAACGATGCAATCTTTAACCCTAAATGCCACAATAATACCCAATTACAATATAAACAACTACGCTTTGCTAATTTTTGTTGTAAAACCGTAAATTCTATGTATCGCCCTGCTCATTGTTAATAATACTACAAAATATCGATTTTTTTGGTATGTTTAGCAATACAAGAATTTATTAATGTTCTGCTTGCAGCGTCCCGAAAAGCTAAGGAAGGAAGATGAACCCCTACTGGCCAACGGCCATGCCAATGGCGATTGCCAGACAACGGAAAAGAAGCTATTGAATGGTCATGCCAATGGCAAACTCATGGCCAATGGCAGCAGCAGTGCGAAATCCTCGAACGGCTACAGCAGCAGCAACAGCAATGGTTACAAGAATGGCGCCGTGCTGGCCAATGGCGTCAACGGTCACACAACAGAGCTGACGCAGCGAAAGGTGAAATAATACAAGGCCAAAAATGGCAAACGTAAAATGCTGAAAAAGAAATTGGACATTTAATCGATAGAAATCTAATAGAAACAACAACAACATAGAGCTGAGAGACCGATCGCTAGAAAATCAATTGGAACTTAATTGCAATAATTCTAATATTACAACAACAAAAAGAGAAAAAAAACACAAACACAAAAGTAAATACAACAACACCTAAAACAATAACTATTGTTTTGTAGTCTAGACAATGAAAACCTAAAACCAAGGGATCTCCTAACTTCAGTTATGGCCTGTAACCCGCTCGAGTCTGGCCTGGCTCTGAAGAGTCTAAAAAATCCCAAGCAAAAAACTTCTACATTAGCCGAATAGTTGAGAAGACAAAACATAACAAGCGTTGTATTAAACTAAAGATTTCTATACAATTTACAACAACAAAAACAAAAAAACAAACATTTTGTGATGTATTTTCTTTTTATAAAAAAAAAACATATTTTTTGTGTACATTTTTTCCAAATAGTTCCGTAACATTTACAAAAAACAACAACAACAACAATATAATACACGCAGACACACACAAAAAAAACCATTTTTTCAAGGCATAAAAGATTGACAGGACTGGGCTGAAGGAAAACAAACTCCAAAAAGTGAGGTTATGGCAATATTTTTTTTAGAAAATAAAAAAAAGTAATTTAAAATAAATATTTGGGAATTTGTATTCAGACAAAATTAAAAGATAAATTTTAAACATAACCCCACTTCTAATAACTTTGGAATCCATTAATTAGCTCCGTGTCTTTATTCTTTAGCTCCAAGAAAATTGGTTGGTTTTCCTAAAAACTCTAATTCTTTTTCTACGTTGGTCTTAAGTTTCAAAAATACACACACACACACACAGTTTTATACAATGTTATATATACAACTAATTATTTTGTTATATGTTTTTCATTCTTTTGTTCTTTACAAAAAAATTAAGCAGATAAAAAACCCCAACAAATCTTTATAAAAATTTTGTAGCTTTTTAAAGTAAGTAAATTAAAAAAAAAAATATTCGCTTTAGTTGTACAAATTATAAAAACAAAAGAAAAAAACAAAACAAATTACAAATACGAGTCGAAGCCGCAAAGAGAAGGTTTATATAGTTTAAAATATAAATTAATTTAATTAAAAAGAAACAAAAAAAAACACAACAAATGTATAAACTATTTAATATATAAACTTAAAAAAACAAAACAAAAAATACATAATAATATTATTATAAACAAACTATATTTAAAAAACAAACAAATTAAATTTATTGTGAGGTTATGTTATTATATATAGGTAATAAATAAATAAAGAGAAAAATCGTATCTTTTTTTTAAATTAATAATTTTGTATAAAAAACCAACAAAAATGTTATGTTTAATTAAATTAAAACGAGTCATGCTTTAGCAAAACAACAAAAAAAAAATAAACGAAAAAAAAACAACAAACCAATTTGAATTCATTTATTACAAAAAAAAATCAAAATTACTTCTCCAATATTTGGCACAAAATGAGAAAACATTTCCCCTTGCAACTCCCAAAAGCAAGGCAAATTCATTTACCAAATTCCTTAGCATACCTTCAGGCGTAAATTGTTTTGCTCTTCAAGCAAAATCCATTGAAAAAGGGAGGAACTAATAAACAGACATGGCTAATAACCAAGAAAAACTAAAACAAAACAAACTGGAGAATTGTATTTATTTTTAAGTACTACAATAATAATTATTAATTATTATTATAAATAGAAATTAGCACCTAAGTTTTGTAGTTCATATATACAAAGCCACAGTCACATTTACACAGATCTTTACAATACAACACATCCAAAACAAAAATAAAACAACAGCTCTCCAACAACATCAATAACTCCGCTCCGCTCCGCTCCCCTTCCCCTCCCTCTTCCCTTTACAACCCATCCATAAATAAATATATTAATTATAAATATAAATATATTTACATCATACTGCTAAAAAGGTAATCATATGTGTTATAATAATATAATTTAATATTTTTTTGTGTATAAAGTATAATCATACCAACTGGGCGTTAAGGAAGTTGAACATATTTTTTTCAAATACAAACAATAAAAAAAAATAAAACTGGAATAAAATGAAACAGAAAAAATTATCTAAAAATTCAATTTTGAATTGTTTTTTATTTTGTTGACGGATATACGACTACTATGTAATAAATAAATGGAAAGTTTGGAAGTGAGTATATATTTTGAAATTTGACCTTTTTGTTTTTTTTTTTAAGCAATAAGGAGGTTAAGTAGGTTGGCTGAAATTGGAACATAATTGCAAGCGGATGTAATATTTACCCCAAAGCATAGGATTTACAAAACTTTGGATATCCCATTCAGTCGGTAACGTAGTAGAGCCAAATTATCCATTTACAAAGCTGAACAATTCCGCCAGTTATGACGGATTTTTCTTTTATAAAAAGCGAATCGACCTACCGGATTATAAAACGACCTCAGTAAACTCCTGAATTTTGTAGAGAGATCCAAATTGCAGCTACTTATTTTTCAAATAGTTTCTTAGACATTGATTGGTCTGACAGATCGAGTTGGGACCAAGTGAGTTAAACACCGTTACTAAAAAAAATTATAATCCCCTAAAATTTGGAAGTTATAGGTTGTTGTTGTAGCAGTTCGTACTGTTGCCTCCGTTTTGATTATATCTTCTCTAATCTGGCTCTGCTGCTAACTCCAAATTCAAAAAGGTGATACCGGTCGCTGTATTTATTGGGTCCACAGCGATACGGGAGTTAGGTGAATAGGTTTGGGCAGTTGAAAATGTGCAACGTGTCATGTCGGCCTGTGCCACATGCTGACCAAATATTCTCCGCATTGCTGTCAATTCGAGCTCAATACGAATTGAGGCGGCCCGCACCAGGCAGATCTCAGTTTTTCCAAAAATACTCTCGTTTGTAGCGGCAGCTCTCGTACTTCAGCTGCTATGGATC